AATTTTGTGCATATTCTGCCCACATCAGATAGCGACTCCAGTCGTGCTGTTGCTGATGACAGTAGGAACGTAGAAATCGAATGACTTCTTGATTCATACGTTCAGTTTGGCCGTTGGATTGAGGATGGTACCCTGAGGTGAGACTAACATTAATATTTAGATTTTTACAGAGAGCGGACCATACCCGGGAAGTGAATTGGGATCCCCTGTCTGAGACGATATCATCAGGTAAGCCAAACATTCGAAATACATGATTGCACAGGGCTTCTGCGGTTTCAAAGGCAGAGGGCAATTTGGGCAACGGTATTAGGCGACAAGCCTTGGAGAAACGATCAACCACCGTGAGAATGACTGTGTTGTTCTGGGAAACAGGGAGATCCGTAATGAAGTCCACCGCTATATGGGACCAGGGCCGTTGCGGAACCGGTAGCGGTTGTAACAGGCCAGCAGGGGTTTGGTGAGATGCCTTCGTGCTTTGGCAAATTTTACATTTCTGAACATAATTAATTACATCCTTCGTGAGGGACGGCCACCAGAAACGGGCTTTGACTAACTCCAAAGTTGCAGTGATGCCTGGATGCCCCGAACTGGGAGTGTCATGAATATGGGTCAGTAATCTGGTACGTATGTTATTGGGTACAAAAATCAGGTGATTCGGACAGTCTACTGGAGGGTTGTTTTCTCGGTTGGCCTCTTGGATCTCGGTAAGTATGTCCCACTGTACTGGAGCCACTAGTAAGTTCGTAGGAATAATGGTTTCATCACTAATTGGGGTTTTATCCTCTGATAGCCTGGATAGTGCATCTGCCTTACTGTTTTTACTCCCTGGTCTATAGGTGACAATGAAGTCGAATCTGGTGAAGAACAAAGCCCAACGAGCTTGTCTGGGATTTAGACGTTTGGCTGAGCGAAGATATTCCAGATTCTTGTGGTCAGTTAATATGGTGAATTGCTGACTAGCCCCCTCCAGCCAGTGTCTCCATTCTTCCAGGGCTAATTTCATTGCCAGTAATTCGCGATTTCCCACATCATAGTTTCGTTCTGCGCTGGTCAATTTACGGGAGAAGAAGGCACATGGATACATTTTGGATGGTTGACCCTGACGTTGAGATAACACAGCACCGACTCCTGTGTTGGATGCATCCACTTCCACAATGAAAGGTAGGTCTGGGTTGGGATGACGGAGAATAGGAGCTGTGGTGAATTGAGTCTTCAGATCGCTAAATGCTTGGCGTGCTTCAGAGGACCAGGATAGTTTGTGGGAATTTCGTTTGGTCATGGCTGTTAATGGTGCGGCTATTGAACTAAAGCCTCTGATAAACCGTCTATAGAAGTTGGCAAAACCTAGAAATCGCTGCAACTCCTTGAGATTCTGGGGTAACGGCCATCGTTGAACTGCCTGTACCTTCGTATCATCCATGGTAATCCCTTCTGCACTGATGACGTATCCCAAAAAGGCGATCTGTGTCTGGTGAAATTCACACTTCTCTAATTTAGCGTACAGACGATGTTAATTCATGCGTTGCAACACCATACGTACATGTTCAACATGTTCCTTCATCGTGTTTGAATATATGAGGATGTCGTCGATGTAAATGATGACCCAGCGATCCAGCATATCCCGAAAGACATCGTTCATAAAAGATTGGAACACGGATGGACAGTTTGACAGGCCGAAGGGCATTACCGTGTACTCATAGTGCCCCCTAGTGGTGGAAAACGCGGTCTTCCACTCGTCACCAGCACGGATTCTGACAAGGTTATATGCACTGCGAAGATCAAGCTTGGTATAATATCTAGCCTTTCTTAATTGTTCCAGGGCAGGAGGTACGAGGGGTAATGGATAGCGGAATTTTACGGTGATTTCATTGAGCCCTCGGTAATCAATACAGGGACGTAAACTGCCATCTTTCTTCTTTACAAAAAAGAATCCAGCTGAAGCAGGAGATGTAGAAGGTCGGATGAAACCCTTGGCCAATTCCTCGTCGATATATTCAGACATTGCCTTGTGCTCAGGTTGTGACAGAGGGAATATTCGACCCGTTGGAGGACTTGAACCTGGAATTAACTCAATAGCACAATCACTTGGTCGATGTGGGGGAAGTTGAGTAGCTTTTTGTTTGCTAAAAGCTTCATGTAAGTCATGGTACTCAATGGGGATTAGTTCATCAACGGGTTCAGGTAACACATTGGTGGTTCGTAATGGAATTTTGTGAATGGGCTGGATGCACTGTTTCATGCATGACTCACTCCACTGCAATATCTGTCCGTCCCTCCAGGAGATATGAGGATCATGTCGCCTTAACCAGGGCAGTCCCAACACCAGTGGATGATTAACTGAATCAATAATGTAGAATTGCATTTCTTCAATGTGTAGAACACCAACTTGTAACTGTAGCTTATTCGTAATCATACGGATGCGTCCTTCACCCACAGGACGACCGTCTAGTGCTTCCACTGCAAGACAGGAATCATATGAGCTGAGAGATAGTTCGTGACATAAAGCAAATTTCTTAGATATAAAGTTTCCGGCAGATCCAGAGTCGACAAGAGCCATAGTATTAATCATTCTTTTATCAAATTTAATAATTACAGGAATCAGTACACTGAAAAGTGCAGGAACATGGGAAGGACTCACCGATTGAACTGGTGTCTGAGGTCGTACGCTGCAGGTGGATTTCCTGTGCCCTGATTGACCGCAGTACAGGCATAGATGATTTTGCAATCGATGCATTCTTTCTTCATGGGTGAGACGGGTGAAACCCAGTTGCATGGGTTCATCAGGGGGCGTGTCACTTGAAACATGGAGCTGTGTGCGAGGATTTCTACGGCTGCGAATCAGATGATCAAGACGGATGGTAAGTTCAATGAGTTCGTTCAATTTCTTTCCTTCGTCACGGCAAGCCAATTCAGATTGTAGATTGGTATTCAGACCCCGTCTGAATAGTGTCTTCAGTGTATCCTCAACCCAGTTAGTTTGAGCGGCGAGAGTGCGAAATGACAGGGCGTATTCTGCAGCTGTGTTACGCCCCTGTGTAAGAGAAAGTAACTGCTCACCGGGGCTTCTCCCATCTGCTGGGTGCTCGAACACTTCCCGAAATTGCTTGAGAAAAGTTTCAAATGTGGGATAGTTACATTCCTCCTCCTTCCATATCGCTGTAGCCCATTCCAGCGCTTTCCCCGTTAACAGGTTGCATACAAAAGCCACACGACTAGAATCAGTGGGATATAATGCAGGTTGTTGGTTAACAAATAGTTTGCATTGCAATAAGAAGCCTTTGCAGCGAGAAGGTGACCCATCAAACTTTTCAGGAAAAGCTAATCGGGGACTTACGGTAGCCGGAGCATTGGAGACATGCGTTGGTTGAGAAGCTGTCATGGTAGCAGGCGGGGTAACTGCAGGATTCGGATGACGGAGTTGCTGCATAGCTTTCACCAGTTCCTCCGTGAGAGAAGTTAGATGGGTGAGTTGTTGATGATGGGTGGCTAACTGAGTGGCTTGAGCGGAAAGTTCAGTCGAGACTTGTGCTAAAGCTGCTGGATTCTGTAGTGGCGAAGTCTTCTGTTGTGATGAGTCAGAAGGCATTGAATCCATTTGCAAGCTTTATTAAGAGCACACATACAAACAAACACAAAGGGGCAATCCAGGAGACAGAACGTGGGACAGGCAAAAGTTCAAAGGCAGGCAGATATCTTACTGGTCAAAATAACAGGCTGGAGATCAGGGGCAGGCAGATGTCTTTCGTAATCGTAGAACAAGCACAGGGTCAGAAACACAGATCAGTCCGAAGCAGGGAGTATGGAACGCTCAGAAATGACAGCCAGGCAAATCAAGACTTCGCAACGAACCGGAGCGTGAGTGTGGTATATATACACGAGAGCTGATGAGTTGCACCTGGACCGTAATCAGTGCCAGGTAGCAGGGCTTATGGGATTTTGAGTCCGTGAGTCGAATCAGAATTCTGGCGATGGTTCCCTCTGGTGGTGCACAAGAGGGTTGGCATCGCCCTCATTTACAACAAGAGCACATTTGGGATTTGGTGAAACGGGAGATTCGCATCATGGATGGGCAGCCGACAAATCTGCAGCAACTGCGTGATGCTATCATGTCAATATGGACCAAAATCTCTGAGGAATATTTCCAGTAACTTGTTGAATCTATGCCACAAAGGTTTAATGCAATTCTGATGGCAAAAGGGGGTCCAACCTGGTACTAGTAAGGTGTACCTAATAAAGTGGCCGGTGAGTGTCTTCTTTGAATTCAAGGGCCATGAAGGGCAGAAGGAGAGCTGGATGAACGCTTGTTTGACCTTCTCAATATACTCCTCCATATTGTTTTCTTCATAGGGGAAGTTTGCATAGGAATTAATGGGATATGAAATTGCAAACAAAACTAGTCCATGAGGAGTATTAACTGACTTGTAACATCTCTTTTAGTCACAGATTTAGAACTTGTGAGCTATGTGTTTGGATAGTAATGCCTGCATGGTCTGGTGGTTCGACCGGACATGTAGTGATCAGATGGCCATCCACTCCACTTGTTTTAAAATAGTTGCTTTATCACAAAATACAGGAAGCATTACAAGAGAAACCTGCTGCCTTCCTCCAACTAATTATCTGATTATGTAACTGGTCTGGTCATGAGACTGGAGGTCAAGGAGTGGTGACTAGCTCTAGTAAGTATTGGCTGAGTGACTGCACCTCTTCTGCAAATGGGTCCTGGCATGGATTTCTGATGATTGACTGGTGATTGGACAGCAGGCATTTTAAAGAAAACACAGGCAGGTAAGTATCAACATCCACAATATGGTGGAGAATGAGTCCAAAAGTCCTGAAGGCTGATATTACCCAAGGGCACATTTATTTAAAGTTTTAATGCAGATGATGAATAAATGTTTGTTTGTTTGTTAACTTGCTTTTTAATCAGATGTTATTGAAGAGTCAGGTCTGCTCAACAGGTTATTATATTAGACCTTTTTTTCTTTTTTGTTTGTCAACAGGAGAAGAAAGAGCTACATTTATCCTCCAAACACAAGTGAGAAAGGCATCCCGCTGCTTGCTCTCTGAGTGATGTCATCCTTTCCAGGAATGGGCATTTCCTTGTTTCAGTATTTGGATGATTGTGTGGTCAGAAAAACACACCACATTAAATGTGACATAATTTGCTTGTGCAGAGCTGGCACCAGCTAACAAAACAAGTCATTTCAGACATTTGATTTGTAAAATCAGAATTGTTAGTATCACACATCAGTGCTTTTGTACATGTTTGATTTTATGAAACTTTGAGCCATTCAAAAAAAGCAACTACTTTAAAATTTAGTTCTACTTTTTTTTTTGCTACTTTGTCTACAACTACTGTACACGTTCATTTAGCTGATCTGATCTGAATGTACTTTTTGTTTTATACTGAGCCTATAAAATATTCATCACAACACTTCATGACACCTTAGAAAGACACTTAATATACATAAAGTGAACCATAATGTTTATAATCATGTATAGATGTTTTTATGATAATTTTAATGTACTTTTTATTGATACTTCAATGGAAAATATGGGCATTTATCAACTCACTTTGACAAGTTATTTGTGAAAAACTGGGAGAAATACCTCTCTTCTCTCATTCTGTCTCTTTCAAATTGCATTAGAGGCCAAGGTTGGTTGAATTTCTTTTTGTTGGTACAGGGGTCATTTTGGAGTCATAATTATTGCAATGTATTCTCTGTTTGTAATTCATATGAAATTAGTGTATTTGTGATTAAATAATAATAATAGTCATTTTTAGATGTAAATATTTTTTTATTGAACAAGAGAACATAAACTGATAAATACTTAAAGACTACCAAGGTAAAGTCTAGATAGGATACAGCTGCGGATATGCATGTCAATATAGCATTATTTTTATGACACTGTATAGCAATAATCCATATTTTTACAGCACTGTGATGGTTGGGTTTAGGGTTAGGGTAGGGGTAGACATTAAAAATACAATTTATTGGGTAATTCAATAAATAACATTAATAATACTTGATACAACTACTGTTTTTACGTTACTGTGATGGTTGGGGTTATGGCTGGGGTGGGGGTGGACATTAATAAAATACAATTAATGGAAAATTTCCATTCAATTCGTTAACTTCTGGCTGCAACCATCTCTAGCAACCAACTACCAACCAGCCCTGGTCTCCTGTAATGGTAGCTATACAATTTATTTTGTACTGTTAAATGTGAATTTCTTGTATAAAATGTTGTTTATGTTTATCTGTTTGTTTGTTTGTTTATTTATTTCAATATAATTTAGCACATGTTTCACTTAAATTCTTTCCCAGACTGTGGTTTTCAACCTGTGGGCTGCGGCCCCCCAGTGAACTGTGGCGGTATTGCAGGGGGTTGTTACCCACGGGTTCGTTTAAAAAGCACAGTGGGTTTGGTTTGGTTTAGTGGGCTTCGAATCAAAAAGTTTGGAAAACCACTTAAAAATAATGTAATACATTTATAATAGTCTCAAAGAACAGGGTAAAGTTTAGAGAACATAAATAATACTTGGTACAATACTGTTTTTACATTACTGTGACGGTTGGGCTAGGGGCAGTTAATCAAATACAATAAATTGGAAATTTAATAAATAATATAAATAATTCTCGTTAACTTCCGGCCGCAATCGTATCTGAACATTTTTTATTAACATTAAGTAGGACAAACCATTACGGCATATTTAACAATCCAGTACATAGTGTTAGTGTTGATATAAAAGTAGATGACTAGGGTCTTAGACAAGTAATACAAACGAGTCCAAGGCAGTGTCCAAGGCAGTGTCGGTTTAACCAATAAGATAGATAAGCGGCCGCTTACTATATATAACTATTTAATAAACTACATAATAAACTATAAATAACATTGTTTTCTATCATATTTTGGATGGTGAGAGTCAAACAAATACATTTTTAATGTAACTAAACAATATTTAATATAAATTATATTATTATTATATTAATGTAATGTGATGTAATAATAATATTATAAATCTAAATATTATTACATCTGCACACATTTGTCCACCACCCCAATCATGGAGCAGTCCAGCAGTCAAATGTATAATACATAATATTATTATTATAATATATAACTATTACAACTAAAAATCAATGAATTAATAAATTATATATGTATGTGTGTATATATATATATATATATATATATATATATATGTGTGTGTGTGTGTAATTTATTAATTCATTGATTTTTAGTTGTAAAGTAATTTAAACAAATCGTTTGCTTTAAGACAAAACGTGGAAAAAGAAGTTTGAGTGATTGTAAATATATAAGTAAAATAATAAAGTAGAAAGGCTGCATTTAAAACTGTTGGGACCCATGGCCCGATGGCTGGAATCGTTTGGGGCCCCCAAATCACTAAATCCGTCTCTGGTCCAGGTCCTCGTGAAGTGACAATGAAGTGAATTGCAGATACGAACATCTGCAGATAATTCCTACATCCATTAAAGCGGGGTTTCATTAATGACAATAATTACAGATTTGCACCTTGAAGTGTTTCCGAATCTGATCTAGCAACAACCCAAAGAACACGTTAAACTTGTCACCAAGCAACGAACAGACCGAACCCTAGCCTGGATCAGCATATGTGGGTGGAGCGGAGCGGCTCATGAGATGAATCACATTAGCCATGGTACACTGTGACTCCACTCCGGGATTTTAATTTTGCCAACGCGTTTTTAGAGTGATAATAAGACTTAAAAACCGTTGATGAAACACATGCGACTACCATATAATAACGCTGGTAACTGGTATATCACGTTTTACATTCTGATAAAAGTGCTTTCTGTAAAAAATGAACAACAAACAGCTTGATACAGCTTACACTTGTTCTCCAGTAGGTGGCACGAGACACCTCCAAATGATTTTTTTCTTTAGCTAAAACTATCATCACCTCTCTCTGGCAAACGGGTGTTTTCCGATAAACCGGCGAGACAAATTTCAGGTATAGCTATACCGTTAGTGATTATTATTTACCATACATTATCTTTGATTGCCAAAACGTTATTAAATCACGTTTGATTTGCTCTCAACTTAAATTGATAAAACTGTATGTTTCTTCTCTGAAAGTCACGCTTGTTATTCAACGCCATCGTTAATTATGCGCTGTTTACATGAGGATTAAGGATGAGTAAGAGACCCTGTTAGCCTGATACTACAGACCGCCCTTCAGTCCCCAATGCTTCCCCTCCAAACTTTCCAATAGGCAGATAACGGGAAGCTTCACACTCTCACCACTTTCACAGCCCGCATCTCCTGCCAACTGGAGTAACTTCTGTTCCCGTCTTTAATACTAAAACTTCCCCGAGAAACAGTACCGTCATGGGGTGGAAAATTACGGCAAAACTTTTCAAAACTTAACTGGTCGGAGACAACTGGAAAGTGACAGCTGAACTGAGGAGGAGGTTAAAGCGTTATTATTTGAACTGGATTTACAGGATTACGTTAACAGTCTTCACATCATGGTCCATAAATATGGTAAGTTTCTTTAAATTTGTCAGTTTTTGCCATTGTAAGAAACCGATAGCTTATAATGGTATAACAGTGGTCTAATTGTCTAACTTATAAAGGTTTAACATCGATTTTATATACTTTTGTTTTGTTTACCGATATGTACATTTCCAACTAAGACTTTCTTGGAAACCTCCATGAGAAAACAGGAAGGCATAGTCTGAAGTGGGATTATGTAACTTTTATTAAAAACTGCTATTCTTTTCAGAGGCTCAATCAATGTCAAGTGTAGCACTGGCGAAGCGAGACCATTTTTAACCCATTATATGTTCATGTGGAACCTCCTACCTCTACTCCCTTTAAACAGCACCTGAGGCATCCAGAGACCCCCTATAAGTATATAGAAAGTGAAAATACAGCCTACCAATACAACTACGTAAGGAAATATACAATTTAGTTTGAAGAAAGAAAAAGGAGTCAAATATCAAATCACATGTTTCAGTCAAATGTTTAACTCATAAATAATGTTATTAACTGTCCATGTGTTAGTGTGAGATTAGTGTGAGGGGACTGACAAGACAGCATTAACTGGTTAAAGTGCTGGCAAACTAAGGGTCATTTAGTTATTTGATGCATTTTATGTATTCAATATGAGAACAAATCTTTTTAAAATCCGATTTGGTGCAAAATAGTTTTTAGACCCCCTACCTTTACTAACATTTTCACTTAATTCAACATTTGAGGTGTTCAGAGACTCAGACTGAAGTGTTAAGAGTTTTAAACTTTCTAGCAAAATTTTGTTTGTTATTTCTACATTTTAAGTGCCCCTAACTTTTTTCACTCAAATAAGACATTTTAAAAATAAGTTAAAATAAAATAATTCATTTTTTTATCTACCATTTAAAAATCTAAAGTATCTGACATTTATAAATATACAATGTGTAAGAACTACTGCATCTGATGACAACATTGATTAATAAATAAAAATGAACCAAAAAGCTAACATTTAACTGTTCATTGTATTGTTCAGTGTACACACACTTGAATTTTTATAGAACAAAAATACTAGCAAAATTGTTGTGCTGTTTTTCCCAAATTCATTTTCTGTTATTTTATGTGTCCAAATTCTTTGAGAGATCAGTGTATATATCTTAAAAATATATACTTATACAAAAACATACTTACTACTACTCATACTGCTTATAAACTACTACTTACGAATGAACCATTTATTTATTTATTTATTTATTTATTTTATCAGCTTGATAAACTGCTGTTAATCAGCCTTAATACCTTCAATAATCTCATTTAATAAAACACCACCTGATGCATCCATCCAGACAACCCCAGAACTGTTAATTATAGGAGTTCCACATACAGCAAATACATAAATAGATAAATAAATAAATAAATAGATAAATGCATGAATGAATGAATGAATGAATGAATGAGTGAATGAATAAATAAATAAATATAACCATGAATTATTTCATTTGAAGAGAGCAAAACATAATTTTCATAGATAATGTGAATATGAGGGGCACTGACATGACAACTAACTGGTTAATTGTAAAAATGCTTGCAAAATTCTTGAATCTTCTGTTATCTGATGCATTTTAAGCTGACTTAACCCAGCAAGCGTTTTTTTTTTGTTTGTTTTTGAAAGAGGTTTAATAGATGTCTAATAGACATCTAAATATAGTCTGGTTAAAACAAGGGTTAAATTTGGGCTGTCAGTGAAAATTTAATAGACAGAAATGAATGACGACACATATAAAGTTTGTCTAGTCTCTCTATTTGATGACTAGTCTAGTTTTGGCCTATGTCTATTAGATTTTCACTGACAGACCAAGTTTAGCCTTGTTTTAGCCAAACTGTCTACATTTAGATGTCTATTAGACGTCTATTAAACATAAAATTGTTTGCTGGGAAGTGTCCATTCATTGCAAATAACACAAATAACACATAGACTGCATATAAGTAACTTAAAAAAATCTATAATTTATTTGAACTACTTGTTAAAGAATGCATGTTAGATAGCCAGCCTGGTTGACTTGAACATCTGGCTACACTCCCCTTTGAGAAGTTCTCATAATTATAGGCAAGTAATGTCAGATTTCAAGTGTCTAGCATGGTGCAAAGCCTTTTCAGAATTAGATGTATAAAGATCTAAAAATGTCTCCAGGCTGTCAAAAGGAGAATGTAGGTAAAGGTGGAAAGGCATTGAAATGAGCTGGAGTTTGACTGAAATAGTAATGCTTTTCCTTTCTTTTATTTCAGATACCAAAAGAGCAGCAGGTCTACTGAAACAGTACCAGGCAAATCTAACCAGTCCTGAGGAGCAGGCCCTGAAGAGCAGCGTGGAAAAGGTTTCCACCATCTTCGGCAGTCATCTTTTTCAGGCTCTGCTGGGTGAGGTTTGTTTCTGTGTAAACTCTAATGGCTCTCAAAGCAAATAATGATTAACTGTCATTATTTAGGGCTGTTCCACTTGATTCCAGTACATATCATGCTTTGGAAAATGTTCAGAGAAACAGTTTGTTCAGGTTTACAAAACACTGATGGTGTTTTTCTGAAGGGTACGTTCATTTTTTTCAGTCAGTTACCTCCATGTCCCGTTTACATTGTGAGAGTCTTTTCTGGGTACTTTGGACATGCAAAATTCCTTTGATAGTTGCAACGGTTGTAACACAACTTACTCTCTGTGGTGTCATTTGTCTATTCAGTCTATTCTGTCATATATCAAAAATGCAAAATAT